AGATAGTTGTGAAGAAATGTGTGATAGGAAAAGGATAGGGTTGTCTTCTGTTATCTTTTGTCTCTAGTGTAAGTTTTGTCTGCTGTAAAGCTGCATTCCTTTTAACTCTGTGTGCATTCAGACATTCTGATGGAAGTGTTAGCTTAGTTTTAGAAGAAACTAAACTTTGGGTTTTGTGAAAGCTGTGGAAGTGAGGGTGAGAGTATTACTGAGGTTTATTTCAGACATCTAGCGACTGTCTGTTATGACCTAACTGCAGCTCTGCTGGCACTCTGCTTCTGGAGGCCGGACAACTTTCCAGGGCTCAGCTTCCAATAAATGACTTTCCAGCTGAGCCAACCTGAAACCAACCTGAGGAGACCCTTCCAGAGCACAGCAAACAGCTCAGGCTCTTCCTGCAGCTTGATGCTGGACCTGGCCCTCCAGCTCTGCTCAAGGCTTCCTGGGTAGCCTGGGAGTTGATATGTGGTGTTTTGAGTTATCCCACAGGTGACTTCGGCTTAGTTTTGTAAGCTGTTCGGTGTCTTTTGCAAGAGGTTTATTTTGTCTGGTTTCTGTCTTTTTTTCTGGCTAGTATAGAAAGGCCCCCGAATTCTGACAGCAGCGTACTATCCTAAATGCAGTAGCACGAATGTGAAAATGTGCTCTTTGCTGGATGGGTGTGTGACCCTTGGCTATTTCCACTCAAGACAAAGGAAGGCTAGAATTTTGGTGTATTATCTGGTCTATTCTGTTTCTTTTGTGTTTGCTTATTTTTGTAGAGCTCCCAAAGGACCCCCAAAGGCTTCTCTAATAGGTGGCTTAAGGGAAAGCCCGTGTAGCTGCGGACTCACTCAGTTTAAAGCCAGTGAAGATGGGCGTTGGGTGGCTGTGCTGATAAGGAGGTGCTGACACTGCAGAGAAGTGCAGAGTTCACCTGTGCCAGCAGAAACTGGATGCCTTTCTTGGGGGACACGTTGTCTAACAGTGCTTGCAGTTTTATCAGAGAGGCAGTGTTGTTAAGTTGGGCGCCTTTTTCCTCTGCCAGGGGGATGCAATGACACCACTGGCTGGTTTTCATATATTAGATCCACTGTATTGGGAAGTTGCCGTCTTACTGGAAACCAAGAGCTGAACAGACCGCACCACAAAGCCCAATATGACCCCGTATTTCCCCGAAACATTTCCAATTGTTTGTGTGGTGTTCTTGTTTTTTTTTGCTTAGCGCTGTCGATTCAATCAGTGCCCCCTCCCCCAGCATCACCAAAAGTAGGTCAGAGCCCACCTTCTGGGAGGTTCTGTGATGACACTGAGTGCTCTGGTTGGAGGACAGAAAGCTGCCTCCAAAGGTAGGACCTTGGCTTCAACCAGAATAGCTGCAGCTGGAAGCTCTGCTCACCTCGGCCAGCCCTTCTGCTCGGATTAAGAGCTGGATGAGGAGCTATGAGATACAGTTTAGTAGCTTGGTGGGTAGTAATACTGATAGGAGGAGGGTTGGGCTGAATGATCTTGTCTTTTCCAACCTTGTGATCCTGTGAGTAGGGCCAGCTGCAGCGGGCTGTGTCTGGTTTGGCTTTGAGCGTTCACCAGGAGGCTGTACTGCCCTGGCAGTGACTGCTGGGGCGTACACTGGTGAGCAGCCTGTGCTTGGACTTTGTATCAATGAGGATAACCTTCTGATTCTGGCATTTGGGGAAAGTTTGCAGTCCATTTCACCATATGCTTGTCTAGCCTGTACTCCTGTCAGTTTGTGTATGGGGATTTTGTGAGAGGTTTTGTCCAAAGCCTTGTTAGAATTGGGTGAGAAATAGTGTCTCCTGCTTTCTGCTCACTCAATGAACTAGTTTTGCATTGAAGGCAGCTATCAATTTGGTCAGGCAAGATTTCTTCTTTATGTCTTTGTTGATTTTAACTGCTTATCACCCAGGTGCTCTTGGATGGCTCAGGCTAAACTGAGCTCCTCTAACAGAGCTTCCAGCCCCTTGTCTGCAGCCAGGATCGTAGAATCCCAGCATGGCCTGGGTTGCAAAGGCCCACAGCGCTCCTCCAGCTCCAAGCCCTGCTGTGTGCAGGTCGCCAACCAGCAGCCCAGGCTGCCCAGAGCCACATCCAGCCTGGCCTTGAATGCCTGCAGGGATGGGGATCCACAGCCTCCTTGGGCAACCTGTGCCAGTGCCTCACCACCCTCTGCATGGAAAACTTCCTCCTCAGATCCAACCCAAACCTCCCCTGTCTCACTTTAAAACCATTCCCCTTGTCCCATCACCACCCACCCTCACAAACAGCCGTTCCCCCTCCTGTTTATCCGCTCCCTTCAAGCACTGAAGGCCACCATGAGGTCACCCCACAGCCTTCTCTTCTCCAGGCTGAACGAGCCCAGTTCCCTCAACCTTTTGGATGCTAAGTGTAGTTCTGCTTTACTTGTTCTGTTCTGCCACTTCTTACATTCTCCGCTTTATGTGTATATATTCTGTAATACTCCAATCGAGATGAATCTGGCTTAGCTTGTCATTTTGTTTCCTTACCTCATTTCTTAGTTTGAAGCATGTGCCAGCTAATGTCTAACACTTGTCTTTGTTTTTTTTTTTCCTAAACACAGCTTCTAATTGATCTGATAGAGGACTAGGGTGAAGAATTTGTATTTGTACTTGGAGTAGGGAGTGGTTTATGCCTTGCCTGCAATATTTACTCCATACAGCAGTGTTTGTCATTGACTTGTGACTACTTGAAAGCATTTACTGTCACTGTTGAACAGTGTTTTGCTTGGGAAAATACAAGTGGAATTGCCTTCAGCAGGTAACATCATCCGGTGACTGGACTGCTTGGGCAGTGGAAAGGTTCCCTGCCCCTTGTGCTGCAGTCTGAATCACGTGGACACCTGGCACTGCTTGCTAATGGAAAGCAGAACTGGCAAATGTTGCTCATGAGGACTGAGCAGAAGATCTGTTGGTGTCATCACATGAAAGCTTCATACAGCGTGTTTATCTTGGCTTTCCCCATGACCGCTCCCACTTCCCAGGCAAAGGAATGGAGTTTAGATCCTGTTTGTGTACGTCGGAAAGGAGGATGGTGTTAAGTGTCATTGCCAAACACAAGAGGAAACTCAGCACCTGAATTTCAAAACTGAAGTGCTGATGTTTGTTCACTTCAGTTTGTCTTCAGAACGTGGAGTCTCCCAGAGCACGTCTGGGTGGTTTTGAGGACCTCCTCCGACTGCTGGCACAACCATGTCTGTGCTTTACAGCTGCTGACCAACATGAATGCGCTGTGTGTTTCAAGGGCAGATGCAGAAATATTCCCCAAGGAAACAAAGAGGCATTTAAAATAATTAGCTCATGTTGACACAGCGTGGCTATCATTACTGCTTCAGAGTCTGCTGTGGGAGGGGGACCAGGTGTTTGGCAGCTCGGTGCTTTGTGTGGTTACAGTGACAGACCTCGTGTTCTGCTTCCCACATTTACCTTCACAAAACGGGTCCTGTGCTGTGTGCATTGAAATGCAGTGCTTGCTCGTGTGCCTGAGAGAAGTACGTAGCATGGCTCTGTCTGAGGTCACTGTGTGTCTGGGTTTCCAAAATGGGTTGGTTGGAAGATGGCATTTTTGTTTCCAGGCTATGGATGGCGATTGTGTTTATGATGTCAGTGACAGAATTTCTAGTTATTCAGCAGTATTTTATCTCAACCGCTCAGCGACGGAAAAATGCTCTGCGGAATCAAGACAATTTCTGTGCTTGCTGCAGGCAGTTGTGGGGAAAATAAATACTGAAGCAAGCTTAGAGCAAACGTTGGGCAAAAATAAGCTCACACCATGGCAGTAGCTTAAATGAGGAGTTGCACAGCTTGTGTCACAAGCAGATAATTGTGGTGGTGACTTCTGTTCAAGGCAAAGACAACATTCTCTCTTAAAGAGGAGGGGAAAAATAAACTGCTTTTGTGGTTATTTTCAGCTGGTTCCTTCATCAGTGGTTGTATTGAGAATGACCGCATAGGCCATTCTGACACTTCTGTTGCATCCCTGGTGCAATCCTGTAGCTGTGATTTTTACTGTTGGTGTTCTGAGTTCATCTGTAGGCAGAGGGCTGAAGGCTCTGCTTCAGAACGCATGCAGCAGTGCTTGTGGCAAAGACTACCCATGGGCAAGAACTGTGTGCCTTGGTTTGATGGAGCTGGGGGAAAACCCCAGAAGACTGCTTTTCTCCCATTTGATTCCTGAATTGTGAAATAATTGTTGGATGCTGTTATGGATCAATAAATAACAAATTTGGAGAAAGCAAGCAAATAAAAGACATGTACAGCTCTTCAAAATGTCTGTTGTTCAACCCCCCTATGGTCTTGTCTTGGTGTATGTTGTGATCTGCAGAGCAGGGGAGGTTCACAGAATCCCAGCATGGCCTGGGTTGCAAAGGCCCACAGCTCTCATCAGCTCCAACCCCCTGCTGTGTGCAGGTCACCAACCAGCAGCCCAGGCTGCCCAGAGCCACATCCAGCCTGGCCTTAAACTGCTTTGGGCAGAGGGGAGCTGATTGCTTGCAGGTTTGTGGGAAGTCCTGGCACGAGCAGGATTTCTTCATCAACACATGAGCCCTTCTTTCCATACAAGCGACTCCACTAGGTCTTGTGCAACAAGTGCATGAGTGTGCCAATGCATTGCTAGGCTCTTCTGAGGAAACTTATGTCAGAATTAAAGCTTGCTTGCTTATTCCTTATTGTACCAAACCAGATGAATCTGAAGAGAGGTGCCCTTTAGCTATGGGTGCCAATGAGCAAAGGCCTTCACCTATGGATTCATAGCTGCTAAGTCTGAGACTGGGCCCTGGGCTTCGGGCAGTGATCTCTTCAAGCTTTTGCAGTACAAAAAATCACCTCCCTCCACACACAAAATGTGCTATTCCTGGTTTTGCTTTACTTTAACAAGTGACCTTTTTACCTTTCTGGAATGGGTGGGGACACAGCAGCTCATGAATAAGTGTTGCTGTGAGGACATTAACACGTGCCTGAGTTGTTCCATTTTTTTTCTTCCAGTGGAGTATATTGTGGAGTATGACTATGATGCAGTGCATGATGATGAGCTAACCATCCGAGTTGGGGAAATCATCAGGAATGTGAAAAAACTGGAAGAAGAAGGATGGCTGGAAGGGGAGCTGAATGGCAAGCGGGGCATGTTCCCAGATAACTTTGTGAAGGTGAGTTTTGTGCAGTGGCTGCTGTGGCTGTACAGCAGCCTGGTTATTTCTGAAACGATGCCATTACACACCTGTTATATTTCCAAGGGGACGAATTTTTGATTTGAAGACTTTCTATCTTATTCAGGCTTCTGGGGATGTTTCTGGAAGTTCTTTTCCCTTTATAAGCTCTTCTCTCTGTTCTTGCTCACGTGGGCATTTCTGTTGATGCATACCTTCGTGCTGTATCCTGTCTCCTTGCGACTGCTTCAGTTGTGTGCAGCGCAGTGAGCTGCCTTAGTGAGATGGTTTGACTCCTAAAAACTAAAATGAAATAAAAATCTATGCCTGGAAGGTGGATCTATGGAAGAGATCAGGTCAAGAGAGTGGGGAAAGTACGGTCGTGGCTCAGTCAGCTGAGCTGCGGTTGTGTGAATGCTTCAGCTCAGATGGCAGCTGTTGGTTTGAGGGAGCTCCCTCCTGACACAGCCTTCTCTGTGTCTGTGCAAAGGGCACGGAATGGGCCTAGCCTAAAAAGCAATTGTGAATCAGTGAAGCTGTGAAGTCGTACCAACTTTTGCATTTGCTGTGTATTTGTGTATGTATGTTTTAAGTGAAGACTGCTTGCAGTTGTGCTTTTCTGTTTCCTCTGAAAGTTTTATAAGTCTAGTATTGAGTATGCAGCTATTTATTAGTTGCTTGCATAGTCTAGGTGTGCTGTTCCACGTGTAACAGCTGAAATCTGGAGTCTGCTGAGCTGCCAGGTGTCTCATTGTGAGAAGTATGTAAGTGTTACTGGGATTATACCTTCCTTCTTTGTACTTTTTACTTCTTTAGAATATCTTCCTTGGTGTAACCATGGTGTTCCGTGGTTATATCTTGGTTATATCCATATCTTCCATGGTGTTCCATGAAGTATAATTAACAAGAATTTAGATATTCTTGTCTTTCTGAAGTAAAATTATTATTTGCAGAGTAGGAGTTCTTTGACAATATCCTAGCAAGATGCATTGTTACTAAACTGTAAGAGGGAATGTGTGCGGTGTTGTGATCACATCTTCGTGCTTGAGTGCAATAGAATTGATTTTTCTGTTCGATTTAATGAAAAAAAAGAAAAGAAACTACTCGTTTTTATTGCTGAAAAAATTAATTGCCCACCTTTAAAAATGATTGGAATTAACCAGCTGTTCCTTTTGTGCCTCTTAGCAAGGGAAAGTGAGCAAGAATGCCTTTCACTCTTCTAACACTTGTAACTTGTTTTAGCTCATTGCCAAATCCCTTTGAGGTCTAGGGCTGTGTATAAATGCTAACTTACTTTTATCTCATGTGCTTTTTGATGATCGTTGTGCTGGTGACATCCTTGCCTGGCCCATAGGTGCCATGTAGGAAGGTGTCAGACCCACGGCAGTTCATGCCAGGTCTTGGCTCACCAAGGTTAGTTTGCTGAACAGTTCAGAGGGTCAGAGCTGGCATGCTTTTATGTGAAGAACTGAATTAATTGCATGTTGTTTTTCTCTTCTCCAAATTCAAGGAGAACTTCCACAAACTTTGATATAAATCATTGTGGTGTTAGTGCATGAAGGGTTGGTGAGCTGCAGGAAGGAGGTGAAAAGCAACTGGAGCAGAGCTGTACTTCGGCCTTGCAAACAAGGAAGGTCCTTTGAGAAATGAATTGGCTGTTGGTTACCTCACCCATCAGCTGTTCAAACTCGAAGTGAGGTGGTGGCTTTTGTGTCAGCTGGGCTTCCTATGGAGCGGGACCCTGCAGCTCCTGAGGGCAACCAGTTGGAATGGAGAATGTCTGAGGTCTGTGGGATGGGGTGTGACAAAAAGGAGGGGGATGAATGTGACTAGCTTGAATTTCATGCTTTTCTGAAAGGATCTCTGTATTCCTGGCATGAATGTCATCTCATGCATTACATGGGGACTTGGCCTGAACTCATCATAAGGCTCAATTGTTTGGTTGGTTATATATATGTATGTAAAATAGTGTGTGTGTGTGTATCACAAGAATTGAGTGGAGGCCAATGTGTAACCTCTCCATGAAGAATTTGGGTGGTAAATTGTAATCTCTGCTGATTGCATAAGTTAGCTTTTGAAGCTGAAAATGCTGAATGTGTTACTCACTGGAGTTGCCTGGCTTTTTCCTATGTGAACTGTTTTGAAATACAACAAATACGTGATAGTTTAAATGGGACAAAGCTGGACACGCTGTCTTGTTTTCAATTAGATGTTTATGAAGGAGGAAAAAGCGGAACACAGGAAGTTCCATGCAAACACAAGGAAGAGCCTCCTTACTGTGAGAGCCTGGGACGGCTGCCCAGGGGCGGAGGACTCCTCAGCAGCCAGGGCCTGAGATGGATGCCTTCCCATGCGACCTGCTGCAGAACTGCTCTGGCAGGGCTTGGGGTCAGCATCTCCTGAGGTCCCTTGCAGTTCTGTGTTTCTGTGAGTCCTTTTATATCCTGTGAAGTCATTGATTTTTGTCAGTCAGTTGCAGAAGCACTGCAGGGATACAGCAGTAACTCCAGCTCATTCAGCTCGTTTTGCTCAGCTCCTGCAGGACAAAAGCTTGTTGCCAGGTGGCAGCTGCAGTGTCTGTGGCTGCCAGGCAACTTCTTGTCTGAAGGACAACCGAAATACCAATAGGAGGAATAGGGCTGCGTGCTCTCTTGATGTGCTGGATGCCCCAGATTCAGACTGTGTATCATCACAGCTAAAGCAGATCCAGGTCCCATTTTGTTCCCTGTGCTGGGCATGGGTTTACAACGCAGGCTTCACCAACGCCGCTCCTCATGCTTTGATTTTTGCACCAGACAATTCAACTTTTCTGTTCAAAATATAACTGAGCACTGTCATCTTCATTTTAAGTTGCTAACAGTTGTGCAGGAAATAGTTTTTCGTTGGTGTCTTCATTTTCTCTCCGATTTTCTAAGTGTTTCCATGTAGCAGTTTTATGGAAGCTATACAATGGTAACAATTAGTTCTGTGCAGTTCAGAGTGTAGCAAAGGAAGCTGACATCATGCTTTCAGGTGGATGTTAAGGCTAATTTGTTGCACAAACAAGTAGGTGAGCTAAGCTCTGTGTTAACCCATAATATTTCTAAACAAAAGGCAGTCTGTGTAAGCTTCCTGTAGATACTGATGCACTGCTGATAATGCTTGATACCTTGTAATGTATGCTGGTAGCTCTCATTATTATCAGACTTTCTGCATGCTGATATAACATCCTGCAAAAGGCTGCTGGTGGCCGATTCTGTGTGCCAGCTGGGAGTGGGCATGTTCTGCAGGCCCTTGCAGGGCTCTTACACCTCCACAGGTAAGCCAAAGCCTGAGGCTCTGTGTGGTTCTTAGAGCTGACTTGCACCACGTTATTTTGCATTTAAAGAAAGTGCATGGATACCTTCAGTTAAGGAGAACCAGGCGCCCTGTAAAGCTTCCGTGGTGTTTTTGGTTAGTAGTGTCACGGTGTGCTTGAGTGGAAAGTGGGAGGTACCCAAAGGTTGGGATGAGGTGGGGTTGGGTGGCGATGCCTGAAGCAGTCCTTGCATGGGAGCTCACAGCTGGTGGAAAACTCCCAGCGGCTGCATGGTTGCACACAGATGCTCAAACATTGCGAGCAGTTACACTGCCCAGCTGTGAAGCTATCGTCCTTGAATTTACTTTCACTAATAGAGGTCTTTTCAAAAGTGCTCTTGCAGTGTTGGGCTTTGGAGTGCTTGATAGGAGCTCAGTTTTTCCTCTCTGCCTCATAACAAAATGTACTTTCTCAGTTTTGTTTCGGAGCCCTGGCTCATACGTGCCGTATTGCTATAAGCTGCCTTTCTTCATGAAGTTGTGGAGCTCCTCTGCAGGTATGGAGGTTTGCAATCTCAGCGCCAAATTCTCATTTAAATTCCAGCTTGGTTTGTGTTCCTATATGCTTTTGGTTATGTTGTAATACCTGAACTGAATGTTTTGTTCCTGACATCGCTGTTATTGCCATTTCTCTTCCTGCTTTCTACACGGGCAGTACTGAAATAAATAACCTCATAAATTCCTGAAAGAAATGAGCAGTGGAAACCTCGCAGACTTCTATTGTCTTTTTTTTGACAGTAGCTTTTCCTTTCTTAAATTCATCATCGTGAAACGTACCCACACCCATTTGTGTCCAGTACGAGTCAGAGCAGCGGGAGATGCTGCAGAATGGAAAATTCACTCTCCAACTCCTGCCTTAAGCTGGAAGTGATTTGGTGTTTGTTCGTCCACTTATTTGAGAAAGCTTTTGTCTATACACAGTGAAAAGGTTTTTAGCATCGTAATAATAATGGAAACAAAACGAGCAGCTTTTATCTTTGCAGCCAGACTGTGAGTCTGCTGTTCATGGCAGTAAAACTGGCTGGGTCGTAAGCGTGGGGCAGTGCTTCAAACAAGGGAGGGGCAGTGGATGGATTAACTCACAGCTTCCATCAGCGAGGGCAGACAGGGGCTGAGCTTGGGGAGCACTGTGGGGAGCGGGCTGGGATCCTAACGCACGTGCTGCGTGTCCACCTGTGCACAGCAGGGCTGTGCTGTGCTGCTGCTCAGAGTGCTGTTTGCCTGCAAGGTGTGTGCAGCTGCTGCCCTGCACCGTGCTGCTGTCTTGCTCAGGTTAGTGAGCCCCTGAACTTTGCTCGCTACGACATTTTCTTCTCTTCCTCCTCTGAAATAAAAAAAAAAAGCAGAACACAGGGTGTGTTCGAGCAAATATGTCCCTGGAAGTGGTAAGCTTGCTTTATTTTCTGTATGTTCTTAATCAATACATTGATTTTGTGTTTTGGAGAAATGAATGTGAACTGCAGCATGAATTTAAAAAGCTACGGTCGCTGTATGATATTTTTTTTTAGGTCACATTTAATGTATTTTTTTATGCTCTGTCTTAGAGCTGTTTGTGTAACAAAATGGCTTGGTTTTGATTTAGGTGAACTTCTTTCCAGTGTACAGAGACGGGCAGGAATTGCAGTCAGTTACAGTGCTTGGGTGAAGGATTCCTTTAAACAACG